AATAACTGCTTGCTTTTGTAGTACTTCAATCTCGAGACTGTCAATTCTTTGAAATTCTTGAAATTACTGCACGATTCATTTGAGCCTTATTTCCTAGTGTCTCAATAATTAAAAAGTACATGCAAGTTTGTGGCACGGTACCAACAGGACCAGGCCAAATATCAGCTTCTGGCTAATGCTCTACAGGGTTCTCCAAGTGTTTCCAAGACCAGCCTGCAGGTGGTCTTGGACAAAGCCTTCAGCGCCCTGCTTTAACTGTTCTCAGTCTGGACATTGTGCTGAGCCTGCCCAAACCCCAGACCACTTCCTGGATTCCTGTCCAAGCCCTCACTGCTGCCAAGCAGACACTGGGTGGGGGGGGGGGAGGTCACCTCTTCCACTCGTCAAAGGACTGGTAGACCACTACCTCTTCTAGGGAGGGTGGCTCTATTTTCCAGAGAGGGATGGAAGGCACTCCCATCCTCAGCCACTTTGCTGCCTGGGTTTTTCATCCTAGCCCATGAAGACTCTGCTGAGGGTCCCCAGCCCCAAAACACATCAGGGGCTCAGAACCCAGGGTAATGATCTTGGTGTCAAGTAAGCTGATTTCCTTTGGAATAAATACGGGGGCCACCTCTTTGACCTTGTCTGAATATTGAGAACCACCAGGTCCTATTCTGTAACGATGGTGGGTATTGATGGCATCATCTAGCATCCTAGGATGACACCCCTCTACTCTACCTTTCAGGGCTCACAGTTTTCCCATTTGTTTTTAGTCATTTCACACTGCTCCATGCTCTTTTTGGACTGCCATATTCTCTCCAGAATCAAGGCTATGCTTACAACTTTCCCTCTGTGACTCTCTTCCTCACCCATAATGTGGCTCTCTCCCAGATACACAACCTTCATTCCCCCCTTCAGAAGTAAACCGTGCCATATGGGATATCAGGACTTCCATTATAGCCATTCCCTTATATTGGTATTGGTCTCTCTTCCTGGCCTATCTCACCTTCCCTCCACCCCCACACCCTATTACTCATAGGCATCTTAGTGGCCTTAAACCATTATTACCAGGCTTCTCACCTCAGGACTCCTCTAACTCACCAACTCTCTGTGTAACACCCTATCCTTCCTATTATCACACTGACGGCTCCTATGTCCTTGGTCAGGACCCGCAACTTGTTGACGCAGCCATCCTTCCCATTCATCCAATAGTCCCCAATCCACTCACCCAATAGTCCCCAATCCCTTTTATCCACCATCTCCCACAAACCCGATATTTTCCAACCTAGACCTTAAAGATGCTTCCTTCACTGCTCCCCTACCCCTCAATGTCAAGACCTTTTTGCCTTCACCTGGACAGATCGGGACACGTCATTCCCAGCAGCTCATCTAGACAGTCCTCGCTCAAGGCTTTTGGGACAGTCCACATTTCTTTGGCCAGGCTTTTTGTTTCTGATTCACTCCACCTGGCCCAGTCCCCAAGTTTTCTCCTCCAATATGTGGATGATCTGCTCTGTAGCCTTTCTGGCCAACACCCCTGCACTGTTTGTCTCCTGAACATCCTGGCTGACCGTGGTTATGCTGTTTCTGTAGCCCCCGCAACCTTGCTGGGGGTCTGCCTCACCCCAACCCCCTGTTCTATCAGGACAGAGCACAGAGTCCTCCTCTCTACCCTCCCTACCCCTCCTCGAAGTTACCTTTGCTCGTGGATCCCCAACTTTTCTCTTCCGGCCAAGTACCTCCACAAGGGGTGCACGGTGACCTTTCTGAAGGACATGGTGGCCATCGTCCCCTTCAGGCCGCGGCTCCCCAGGTCTCCTTGTCTGTGTCCTCCACACTGAGAGGAGAGCCCCCACGGCGGCGGTGACCAAGGCGGCAGCTGAGTCTCCAGAGCCGCCGGAGTCCAACATGGCGTCTAGGCCGCACGCGCTGGGTAACCGGGAGACGGCGGCCATGGCAGCCAATTCCTGCACGCGTTTCCGAGCGTCAGGCCCCGGAGGCTCCCAACTGTCTCCAGGCCAGTGGAGCACAACGCCAGACCAGACCGGAAAGCCAACCTTGCCTGTCAGTCCTGCCCGGAAGCCCCGCCCCCGGCTCCTCGTTGGCACCTTTGGAGGGAAGCCCACATCCCCACGACAGAAAGGAACTGGGCTGTCATTACCTCCGAAACAGACAGGACCGATCTCTGCACAGTAGGGAAGTCCAACCCATACACCTTCAGCTACAGAATGAAACTCCGCAGGGTCAGGGATTCTGCTCACTGAAAGGAAGTAGGAAGCGGTTGAGACAATGTCTTGGGGTGGGAGCGCCATGAATGTATCTAACAATAGATGTGGTAAAATGGCGCCTGTGTCTGTCTGTCACATACGAAGGGGACTGAAGTGATTTTACACGCGCTGCCCATGTGAGCATGTGAACTTGCTTATAGACTGAACTGTATAGATCTAAAACCCACCCGGACGTGAGACATTAAGTCACTCACCACAGTGAAACCAAAGGCGGCGACTCTTCCAAGGACCACAAAGGCTAAATGCCTCTAACTTCTGATCAGAAAACAGAATATCCATGAAAATGAAAAAAAGAAGGAATGGTTTTCAGTTAACTCATTTTGGTGGTGTTGTGCAGATGCTAGGCAGTGAAGTCGGGGCGTGAATGCGATCCCTGACCTTTCTTGTTCTAGGCCAGCTCTCTACCACTTGAGTCACAGCTCCACATCCACCTCTTTGTGAGTTCATTGGAGGTAAGAGTCTCATGGACTTACCTGCCCAGGCTGGCTTTGAGCCTGGATCCTCAGATCTTAGCCTCCTGAGTAACTAGGATTACAGGATGAATCCCAGTGCCCCGCTTTATCTTAATCATTTTTGAGTCAGCCTAAATGGATTGGATATGAGTATTTCATTATGATATTACCATAGGAGGGTAATAAGAAAGGGAATAAGAAAGATCCTATTTCACAGTAGTTGATAGTATGAGAAATGTCTATGTTTGGTCTGATGTGGGGAAATGACTTGCTATATGAATGAGAAGTAAATACCAGCTTTTCTTTTTGGCAGGACTAGGGTTTGAACTCAAAGCTGCACACTTGGGCTGGGAAGGTGGCTCAGTGGTAGAGCGCTTGCCTTGCATGCTTGAGGCCCTGGGTTCGATTCCTCAGCACTACATAAGCAAAAAAGAAAAAGCCGGAAGTGGCGCTGTGACTCAAGTGGTAGAGCGCTAGCCTTAAGGTGAATTGCTGAGGGACAGCGCCGCAGGCCCAGAGTTCAGGCCCCATGACCAGACCCAAAAAAAAAACAACAAAAGCTACACACTTGCCTATTCATATACAGGTGACTTACATTTACTAATGAGGCAACAAGTGTACAGCTTTCATCATTTCAGCATTATTAAAGGCTTTTCTGTAAAGTCTCGAGATATACTTAGTTGAATTATTTGAGTAGTTGAATTTTCGGAATTACATTATTTTTCATCTGCATTAGAAACAATGTACCTTTTTTCCCAGAGAAATTAAAGTAGTAAAAGACAACCTGACTTTATCACCCGTGACCATCAGTAATGTTACCTCAATAAAACTCACCAACTTTTGGGGCTGGGAAGGTAGTTCAGTGGTAGAGTGCTTGCCTTGCATGCATGAGGCCCTGGGTTCAATTCCTCAGCACCACATAAACAGAAAAAAAGGAAGTGGCACCGTGGCTCAAGTGGTAGAGTGCTTTATCTTTTCATTTGCATCTTGAGTTCCCAAACACTTCTCAGCTCTCCATAAATTGCGAGTAAAAATTTCAACCTGTGGCTGCAGACAGCATATGGGGCTTTCAGCACAGATATAATACACCCAGGAACTGCTGGGGACAGAAAAATGTTTTCTATTTCTCTTTGGTAGCATGTCTGTCCTTTGGGGAAGGTGTCAACCATTCAGAACATGGGGGCCTTCAAACAATTTTGTTACAAGGTCCCGAGTTCTGAGTGCTTTATCTTGCCATTGGAGTTCTGAGCTCCCAAATCTTTCTCAGCTCCCCCAGAATAGTGAGCAAAATATTCCGACCCATGTCTATGGACAACAGGGGTTTTTGCCCTGCTAGGGTATACACAGGAGCTGCTGGGGACAGTAAAATGCTGTCTATTTCTCTTTGGTGGCTTGTCTGTCCATTGGGGAAGGTGTAGAGCCCTAAGAATGTGGGGGCCTTAAAACAAAATTGCATAAAGGCCCCTATATATGAGTGCTTTATCTTGTCGTTTGAATCCAGAGCTCCCAAATACTCATCATCTCTCCCAAATTTGCAAAGAAAAAATTCGACATTTGCTCTGGACAACAAGAGGGGCTTTGAGACCTGCTAAGATGCACACAGAGCTGCTGGGGACAGAAAGATGTTGTGTATTTCTCTTTGCTGGTTTTTCTCTCCTTTCAGAAAGTATACAAATCTCAAAACTGGAGGCCTGGAGCTGGGAAGTTGGCTCAGTGGTAGAGTGCTTGCCTTGCGTGCATGAGGCCCTGGGTTCGATTCCTCAATGCTACATAAGCAGAAAAAGCTGGAAGTGATGCTGTGGCTTAAGTGGTAGAGCACTAGCCTTGAGCTGAAGAGCTGAGGGACAGCTCCCAGGCTCAGAGTTCAGGCCCACGACCAGCAAAAAAACCAACCAAACAAACAAACAAAAAAACCTGGGGGCCTTAACACAAAATTGTGTTGTTGTTTGCATCTTAAGTTCCCCAAAACTCTTCAACTCTCCCAGAATTGCAAGGAAATAATTTGGACCTGTTACTTTGGACACTCTAAGTGGATTTTTGCTCTGGTAGGATGCAAACCGGAGCTGCTGGGGACAGAAAGATGCGGTCTATTTCTCTTTGGTGTCTTTTGTATCCTCTAGGGAAGGTATACAGCTCTACAACTTGTGGGCCTTAAAACAGAATTGTTTTAAGCTCCCCAAGTTCTGAGTGTTCTATCTTTTCTTTTGCACCCAGAACTCTCAAACATTCATTCATTAGCTCTCCCCAAATTCCAAGAAAACCATTTGGAGTCGTTACTATGGATAGTGTGTGGAGCTTTCGGTCCTGCAAGAAGGCACACAGAAACTGCTGGGAACAGAAAGATGTTGTCAATTTCATTTTGGAGGTATGTCTCTCCTTTGGGGAAGGAGTAGAACACTCAGTACTTTGGGGCATTAAAACAAATTGTTTTAAGGTCCCCAAGCTCTGAGTGCTCTATGTTGTTGCTTGCATCCTGAACTAACAAACACCCATCACCTTTCATTAATGCAAGTAAAAAAATTTGACATGTTACTGTGACAGTGTGAGGGGCTTTCAGCCCTCCTAGGATGCACACAGAAGCAGTTGGGGACAGAAAGATGCTGTCTATTTCTCTTTGGTGTCTTGTCTCTCCTTTGTGGAAGGTGTAGAGCACTCAGAACTTGGGGGCCATAAAATAGAATTGTATTAAAGCCCCGACGTTCTGAGTGCTCTATCTTGTCGTTTGCATCAAGAGCTCCCAAATATTTGTCAGCTCCCCCCAAAATGGAGGAAAATATTTGGATCTGTTATTGTTTATAGTGTGTGGGGCTTATGGCCCAGCTTGGATGACACAGGAGTTGCTGGGGACAGAAACATGCTGTCTATTTCTTTTTGTATGTGTGTTAAAATACTGTACAGAGGGGTTACAATTACATGGGCAAGATAATGAGTACACTTCTTATCAAGCATTATAGCCTCCTCCTTTGTTTCCCCTTCCCATCCCATCCTCCCCCGTGACCCACCACTCAATCCCCCCCCCACTCCACCAAAATTGTAAAGTCCATTTTCGACATAAGGACTTGTATAACTCATTGTTGCAATGGGTCCACCTATATCCCTATTTAAACGATTTGTTTTTTCCCTTTCCCTCCTCAAATTATACAAACATCAAATACAGTGAAAGCAGGGGTTATACTGTGGGGGAGGGACATACAAAACAACAAAGAAATCATCTTATAAATGTGTTAATAGCAATCCCATGAAGGAAAAAAACATTTGAATACATATCTTAGGGTTCATTTCCCTAACATCAACTTATCTGACCTTTCCTGCTTGACTCAGACATATTCTAGTTATTGCAAATAAGGGAAACCATGGGACCTATGTTTCTTTGGGCTTGGCTTACTTCACTTAATATAATTTTTTCCAAGCCTTTCC